CTAACATTCAGTCTTTAGTTTCAAATAAGTTAATACCTAAAAGCACAGATATTAACAATGAACTTAAGAGTATTCTCTCTGAAAGCAAGTATCCGTTACTTTGGATTCCTTATAAGGAATTTAAGAACATTAAAAAGATAGGACAAGGCGGATTTGCAAATGTGTACTCTGCCGTGTGGAATTCTAGAATTGTTGCGCTTAAACTACTTAATGGATCAAGGGATTGTAATGAAGAGTTTTTAAAAGAGGTACTTTTTATTTAAAAGATTACCCTATTATTCTAAACCTTTTCTTACCCTTTTCTTGCATTGAAGTTAAAAGCACATTGCGATATTGGGTATAAAAACCCTACTTTTTTAAAATGTTACGGAATATCTAGAGAAGAGACCTCTAAGGATTATATTCTTGTTATTGAATATGCACCAATGGGTTCTCTGCGTGATAATCTTTATTTAGTATCACGATCTGGATGGAAAGAAAAGTTAAAATTGTTAATTTCCATTTCATCGGACCTTCAAATTATCCATACACAAAATATTATTCACCGGGATTTGCATAGTGGCAATATTTTGTTAGAAAATTTATATGGTGCATATATTGCTGATTTGGGTCTTTCTATATCAACTAATACAGAATCTAAGGGAGTTTATGGAATTTTACCATATATAGCACCGGAAGTTTTTTATGGTAATCCATATACTTTGGCATCAGATATATATTCATTTGGCATAATTATGTGGGAAATTTCTTCTGGAAAATCCGTTCCATTTAATAATGAATCTAGGGTACAATTTCAAATTCAAGTATGCGATGGGCTACGACCAACTACTATTGAAGGCACACCACAGTGTTATGTAGATCTTATGAAAAAATGCTGGGATGGAAATCCAAATAATCGACCACATGTTGAAGAAATTTACAGAATTTTTACAGAGTGGGAAAACGATATGAAAATTTTATCAGTATTAACTAAAGCTGATATATTGGAAAATAATGATAATTCGGATATACAAACATATATTGAACCCATTTACACGAGTGAATTTATTCCTTACATCAAATCATCTTGCCACGGTAAATATGTATTATAATTATCTTTATTTTTTTTTAGCATTGTATTAAATTAACGCCAATTTAATTATACATTTTAGACAGTCAGCTACCTAATTTAATCATTAAATGATAATATAACACATATCTTTAGAGTATTCTCGGTAATTAACCTCTATGACTAGAGTTACATGTATCACAAGCATGTTCTGTGTCTTTGAATATTTAAATACTTGGTGCAGGTTTACAAGAATATTAGTACAGGCTCTTATTGGAGTGCAATGGAGTAGCGTACAATATAAACTTGGCACAATTCAATTTACAAAGATATTATATGTTTTATAATTTTTAGATAATTTTATCAACAAAGAATATTTATTTTAACAATAGTTTAATAAATATATGTATTGTGTTTAATATTTTGCTCCTGATAAATAAAAATAGTTTAATTGATGCTTTTAAAATAATGATTAATTATTTTTAATATTTATATTTATTCGATTAAATATAACAATATAATTTTATATAATTTTTAAAATATCTTATTTTAATTTGACTAATAAATTTTAATTTAAGATATTTTATATTGTTGGTTTATTTTAACTTTAGTTGACATAAAAAATATAGATAAAATTGAACTATATAATAAATACAACATATTAGATTAGGTATTAAAAATAAAAATAGTTTGAATTGAATTTATGTAATATCGTGATTAATTAACAGATGTGTTACATATTAAATAAATAAAAGCAAATTGAATTAAATAATAAAAATATATATTTTTTATTATTTATACGTGTATATTAATAATTAATAAACTTATTTTGATTGAACTTTATTATATAAAATATATTATAAAGGTTCTATAGAATATATAAATAAATATACAATAATAAATAAAGAAAAAATTAGAAATTGTTACTTCAAGTAACTTTGATATTGCAAGTGAGAAAGGCTTTATTTACTGTTATTATATAAATTAGTTTTGATTTTAATTAGTAAAATATTTAATAATAACAATAGTTATATTATATTGTTTACTTGTTTTATTTATTTTATTATTTTATTGTCTTTATTTTTGATATTTTTGATAGATTTCTTATAGATAATTGTTTTAATATCAAAATTATTTACTTATATTTTTAAAATATTGATTATTTTAGTAAATAAAAGTTATATGATAAATTATTTTTTTAAAATTTTACAATTATATTTGTTTTTATATAAAATAGTAATTTTTTTTCTAATCTTATATATCAAACAAAATTGAATTTTATAAACCATAATATGTTGTATTAAAAATTATGTTTAAATAAAATATTTTCTACTTTTGGTTTCACATCTATATTAACAATTATAAATCTGAATTGTCATATAACAATATTTAAAAATATTATATTAAAATTAAAAAAATGCATAAGTATATAGTATATTATATGTTATGGATTATTTTAATTACAGTACAGTGATGATCATAAGTAATAGAGCAAAAAAATTTTTTTTATTAAATTATATTATTTTATACAATTTTAGACATATTCTTTTACTTTTTTAAAAAAATTTGTTCATAAATACTTATTTTTTTGGTATTGAAAATTCAATAATTATTATAACTATTGATAAAGATATAATTGCGCATGTGTTGCAAAACATATAATGTATTATTTTTGCTCATTTTTGACAAAGATTAGATATGTGTTGATAATACTATATAAATATACATATAAAATATAAATATATTTCTATTTTTGTATCTTTGTACAATGTTGAATCTTTTTGATAATCAAATTTCAAAAAAAAGAAACAAACAAACTCAACCCAAAGGGCTCAAATATTGCTTTTACTTTAAAAAAAACATTCTACAAGAGAAATTGGTCATGTTTATAATGTTAGTTCTTTTACAGTATCTAGAATTAACAAAAAGTGATTAAAAAGTTGCATACTTGAAGATTTAACAAGAGTTGGTCATCTACCTACTATAAATGAACCAACACAAAAAAAATTATAAATCTTATTATTTCTTGTCAATGTTCAAGTGCAGTTGAAATTTGTTTTTGTTTTAAAGAACAAGAAAATATTGTGATTTCAGCATCTACTATTTGTTGCATACTCAAAGCTTATAATTTAGTATTAGCAATTAAAAGAAAAAGGCATTACTTGAGAAATATCAGCAAAAATGTCAGTTAGAATTTGCAAAAAAATACAAAAATTAGTTTTATAAAGATTAAGCCAAGATAATTTAATCTGACAAATCAAAATTCAAGATCTTTGGATCAGATGGCAAGTAGTATTACTGGAAGTATCCTGGTAAATTTTTAAATAATTTTCATATTAAATCTATAATAAAATATGGAGATGACTCAGTTATGATTTAGAGGTGTTTTTCATCTCATGAGATTGGTGGATTTTGTAAAATCAATGGCAACATGAATAGTAAGTTATATTGTTAGATATTTAAAATTTTATGAATATTGTTAAAAATTAAGAATTCAATATTCATAGGATCATTTTTCAACAGGATAATGACCTCAAGCATACAGTAAAGTTAACAAAATGCTGATTAAGAAATAATTATGTGCAATTATTGGATTGGCCCCTCCAATCTCCTGATCTCAATTTTATTGAACATTTATGGATTGAAGTAATCCATAGACTTAGAAAACTTCTCAAACAAAATAGAAATTGATATTGAAACCTGTATTAACCTGGTTCAATCTATGCCTGAACAAATTCATAATATTATTAAGGCATGTGGTGAATATACCAGGTGGTAGTAATCAATATGTATATAGATAAAAAAAATTTTTTTTTGTTTTAGTTTCGTGCTGTATTAAGTATGAGCAAAAGTAATGCATCACATCAATTTAAATAAAGCTTATGCCTACAAAAAATTTTGACCAATAATATTTCTTAAATTTTAGATATTTTAAAGCTATAAATAAATGATACATCTAGAATTGTACGAAATAATGCGATCTAATCATTTTTTTTTCTTGCTCTAACTATATAAAGAAAAATATTTTTAATGAATTATATTATTTTTATTTAATTTGTACAAGACCTTTTAAAATATAAAAAAACAAAACTATATTAAAAAATAAAATAAATTAAATAAATTAAATAAAAAAACAAGTCAGTTTGAACTTTGATTAAAGCAATATCAAATGAATCAATTCATGTTTTTTGTCACTTTGATTATTTTTCTGTAGTTTATCGTGAGATAATTATATTATAACTGAATATGGTGGGTCTACTGCCAGATTTCCATACAATATTTTTATTAGGTAATTACGTATACAGTATACAGTATAAGCATTTTTTGCGATTATAAAATAATGAGAAAAAAATAAAGTCGATAAAGAATCTCGTCGAGCTATTACATAATAATTTTTACATTTCGCCACATATTACATAATTATTGAATATGTCCTTGAGATACTCCAGCAAATATTAATCACATGCTGAAGATTATGTTTGATTCCATTGTGTCATAAATTAGATAATGATCTCATTCTCGCTTCAGCCTTCGTTGAAGTGACATGCCCTGGCCAAGTATCGATCTCGCGATTATTCAGCGAGGATCGGCTACGCGTAGAGATGTCAAGTAAACCCGTAATTTTTGACAATAGTAGTAATACCAATGAAGAATCCCAAATGGCCAAATGTCGGAATTCCAAAGCGAGTCACGTCCCCCTTGGTGATTGTAACCTTTTGTCATTACATTATATCTATTAGACTTTCACATTAGTATATCGACCATTATTGTAATAACAACGTCATTCTAATCTTCAAATTACAACGGTCATGAAATACAATTGTTTGTTTCTTAGATGCTGTTGTATTCTTATTCGGAAACAATTGTATTATGAAATGATATCGTATACGTATAGAACAAAACTGTCACCATATACATGTACTGTATACAATATTCATGATAATGACGATCTATGGTAGGTTGGAAATACAGTATTTAAGAGACGTTTAGAGAATTTACTGACTGGTGGTTGACTTCGAAAGTTTCAACAAATACTCGAAGCGGTCATCATGTTTCGTGCTCTTAAAGATGATGAAAAATCTCCTGACGATTACGTTAGCGAAGAAAACTCAACGGTAATTGCATAAATGTATTTTTTTTTTTTAACTATAATTCATCTGAAAAGTTTACCTTTTATTTTTCGTAGTTAAGAGGATTTTCATCTGTTGCCAGATCTGCATTAACTACTCCCGAACATGAAGCCATCAGTCTCAGCACGTCCACGGATGTTATTGATACTATGAAGGCTGTACTCTCAACCGTTGCAAAGGTTATGGTTAAAGCTTCAAGCTCCATTGGAGCATTGAATAATTTTCTTAGCAGTCCAAACGTGCAAGTTGCATTAATGACCGAGAATGGATCTTCTAATTCTGGTTCCTATAATGCATCTTCTCCTACCGCTCCATCTCCACCTGATTCATATACTGCACATATTTCATCATCAACTGATTCCCGATCTCCACCATCTTCTTCTCCTCCTCCTCCTCCATCTTCTTCTTCTTCTTCTCCTCCTCCTCCATCTTCTTCTTCTTCTTCTCCTCCTCCTCCTCCTCCATCTTCATCTTCTTCTCCTCCTCCATCTTCATCTTCTTCTTCTCCTCCATCTTCTTCTCCTCCACCATCTTCTTCTCCACCATCTTCTTCTTCATTGTGTCAGTTACTGAAAGATATTTATTACACTTTGGGAGCCATGATCGATTGCATAAACAATAACCAAGGAGATTTCCAGTGTAAGTTGTTTTTTCTTTTATTAGTAGATTATTTTATTAATTTATCTATCTTATATTTTATTACTGTAGTACTTGTAAATTATTTCAAAATATTAATCGATAAACTTAGAGACAATATTAGAATTATGAAATACGAACTCACTAATTCACTTAAAAACTGTGTGCAAAACCGAGAAAGACTGATGCGGTCAAGAAGTTATATTATACCAATTCTGCTTACTGCTACTGCAATGCTTGGAACTGCAATGTTTGGAACTGCAATGCTTGGAACTGCAATGTTTGGAACTTCAATTTTTGGAATGGGATATTCCTCCAATCTTATATCTTTTATATGTGTAAGTAATAGTTATGTTGTTTCTATAAAAAAACGATTAATCTTTTTTTTTTTGTGTTTTAGACCATCGCAATCTTAGGTATTGTTATTATAATTTCAGACTATTATGATCGGAAACTCGAACAAGACATAAACAAGCTTCAATCTACAATAAATGATCTGGATAAACTCAGCCGTACTCTTACCAATCTGGAGGTAGTTCCTAGAGCTTTCGAAATTTTTAATGAAACTACTGAGATCAAAAGAGTTTTCGCTGAATACCAAGAACAAATTAAAGAACATGCAAGAACGTTGAGGTGTGATTGCGCTGACTGGAACTAAACTATGATTTTTTTAAAAAAAAAGAAAAATTTTTAGCTTTATTTTATTCTGGTGATTATTTCTGTACTTGTCTTTTTTTTTTTTATCAAATAAAACTGTCTTATAGGAATAATTCCTTTTTATTTTTTTATAATAAGCACAATACAGTACTTGCTCACTTCATTACAATCACCATAAGATTATGAATTAAAACCTAAATAGGAAATCCCATTCAGTATACAGTATATTATACTGTAGTTGATTTTTTTCGATAAAATAAAGTACTGTGATTATTTCGCGAATCGTGTTGAAAATCACATAATTCATCATTATACAGTATATAACACGACGGAAAAAGTACAGTACGTAGTCTGCAAAATTAAACAAACATACCTGAAAATTTGGTCAAGTCGTACACCTGACGTGGCGATGTGAAAGTATTTGTTAGTGCATACTCGCCGGTCATTGACTGCAACCCATTTCTAATTTAAAAAATCTGATTAGAGGGAAGGAACTAGGTGTATTTTTGGTCAAATGTTTTACCTCTTTCGACGCCTAACATATGTGATCCGATGTCTGATCCGCATTAGCAACTGACTCGTCGGTCATTAACAAAAACCCTTTTATTGTTTTAAAATTTTTATTAAAAATGAAAAGAGTTAACTGAATGCTCGACTAAATATCTTACCTCTTTCAAGCACATTTAATATACGCGATGCAAAATCTTATTTAGGCTGGTGACAGACTCATTATTTATTGTAGATTTATTTTAAATGACTAAATTTTTTCGCATCATACTACTAAAATTACGCTTAACAAGATACCGCCAAACACGTTTGCATCAGAAGACAAGGTTATATTAACAAGAAACTTATACTTTTATTACACGCTGGGATATCAATTTGATTGTTTATTTTTAACCATTATTCACTTAACAGGAACCCGAATGTCTTTACCATTTACTTCAACGGTTGCATCATGTTTGTTGGATGTTATTAATTCAAACATACCATTTTGAAAAGTGGCTGTAATTTTTATTTTCAGGTTTCCACTTTGTCCATTACACTAATACCCTTTTCCCTCGCGTTTTGATTCATATCTTGATTAGGTATGATGTATATTCTGGTCTGGATTGTGTTGTCACTCTTTTTTTTGAACCCTGCCTTGATGGCATAATTATTTATACATTCTTCCAGTAATACATTTACAGAATTTGAAATTTTTAATACTGTGAGATCTGTTGTTCAACGATAGTTTCAGGTGTAATTATAATAGTAATTTCTTTTTCTGTCATATCTTGTATAGTATTGGAGTATTATAAACACAATGAATTTCTACTCAATAATTACTTATAATGTGACCTTATGAGCTGTATGAATAGTTGAATAATATGTTATAACGAATGCATAAATTACATTAATCCTGTCTTTGCAATTACTGCAATTATTTTGATATTATAGCAATTTGGTAAAATCACATTTAATGGTATCATTTAATAGTTATACTTAACCTTGGGATTGTGTATGATGAGGACGACCATGTCTAATTGTAATACAATACTGAGGTATTACAAAATCTAAGTAATTAATTATACAATAAATTCTTTGCTATTATCCCTTTAAAAATAGCAGGTAGATCAAAAATCTTTAAAAAAATATGTGGTGACAGTATGGCTTCTTTATAGGAACTGCTATAATAAATACACAAATGCTCGTTCAATTTGAACATGTTCTGGTGTTATTGATACAACCAGAATCATATCAGCTTCTCTTTAATTGATGATATTAATAACACAAACAATACATTTACTTATATATTCTTGTATTATTTCAACTGTCATTTCTAAAATAACAGAAATGTTTTGTAATGAACTTGATTATTTGCTTATTGCAATCATACAGTAAAACGTACCAATTACAGTACTAGGAAACAAGAACCGTTGTTACTGTAGGTCTGGAGCCAATACGGTACTGTAAAATTGAAGGTAATGACGTAACAAAGAGTCTTATGTAATGTTAAACATAGAAGAAAATGACAGAACATTTGCATTACATAATATATAGGACAAAAAGACAATTTTATCAAAAATATATTGAAATATATGGTCTGTCACTATGCTCCAGACTAATAAAGTGCATATTTTTTTATCATATTTAGAAATAACAATGTATTTTTATTCAATACTAGAAATTCTAATAACTATATGAAATACAACTGTTTACTTGAATAAGTAGAAATAATAACTATAATATATTTAAAATTTGAAACAAAATTCAAAATTATCAAAAAAAATTTTTACTATATTAAAAATTTTATTAAATAATATAAGAAATTAAAAACCAAAAAAAAATAAAATATTAATATAGAAACAAATAATTTAGCTAATTTATATTATACAGATATTACTTGTTAAATTTGTAGTTATCCTACTTTTATAAATATTTATTTTGATAAGTTATAGATATACCTAATAAAAAATCGCAATGATTATTTAAAAATAATTTTAGATATTGTAGTATATCATCATTCTTATTTTTAAAAAATATTAAAAAAGATGAGATTATTAATTAATATAAAAATAATATTGATAATAATAAATTTTTTTACTATATATTATTATATATGTATATACAATAAATATAAATATAACAAAGAAATTCAACTTTTACTTTTTTCTTTGTTATGGTAGATTTTTATTATATTAAGATAATTTTGTTAAAATTTTTAAAAAAATATTTTATTATATCTAAGTATTTGTTACTGTATATTCAAACTTTTTTATATCTAGGTTTACTGTAATATTTCATGTTAAAAAAATCATAAACAAGCTATTGTTTATAATTAATAAAAGAAAACTTTATTAAATATAAGAAAACCAAATAACTATTATTTTCCAAAAGAAAAAAAAACCTTTTCTATATAAATATTTTTCTAATATAAATAAATAAAATATAAATACAAGTCTAAAATAATACATTGTTGGGGTGATAACGGCGAGTCTGTCGCTACGTCGCGATCGCCGATCGTGTAACGTCGAAAGAGGCGTGGAGAT